ACAGCGCCTCGCATATGGCTAGCATCGGGTTTGGGTAGAATAGCGTCCGCCTCTCTCTCTTATGCCGTGGCTTTGCTTCGTTGAGGAATACCCTTCCAAGAGAGCGTGAATGGTTGGAGGTGCAGCAGCCCCAGTACCGCTCGTACTTGCCCTCTGTATTGTCTTATGCCGCCTCGTAGCTGTACAATGTCTGTGAATGAATGAGAATTCGCTGTCAAGCGTCACGCTGGAGTCACGAATCGCACGATATAGTAACTGTCGCGATCTTTTTCATCCTCCCATGATGGAACAGTCAAGTCCTCTAGACATACAAGAACTGTTAGATCATTGTATTGGGCTTCTCGCAGATTCACCCCCAGACCTTCTCGCGTGCTGTCTCGTCGCCCGTTCTTGGGTACAAATGGCGCAATCGCATCTTTTTCGAGCGCCGCATATCACCAATCTCAAGTTTGAAAAAGACGAGGTGGCGCTGAAATTCTTCTTAACCCTCGTTGCTTCCCCGCATCTTATACGCCATGTGCGGGAGCTTGACCTAGATTGCAGTAACGGAACCAATCCCAGCGATAAATACAGAGCGATTTCCTCAATCGTCTTTACGCACCTGGAAACTGTAGTCTTGATGGTCGACGAACAACCCCGCGAGGACACGGAGGAAACGATTACACGGCTGATGGGGCTCCCTACCCTGCGCCGCCTCGGGTATACTCACCGTCATTTCAATTCTCCGATTTCGAATTCTGCATATCTGTTAAATCACTGCTCGCCATCAATCCGACATCTTGAAGTCTTTCTTACCATAGAGAGAGGAGACTCACTCAACTTTGTACATGATGTTGTGCCGCACATCTGCATCCAGTCTTTGCGGCTGAATGGCCGCGTTGACCCTTTAGACAATCCGCGGACGCTTTCTCTAGACAAGATGCTGCGTCCATTCAATTTTTCGGAATTGAAGGCTCTCAATCTCGATGGCGTCTTACGATTCCACGAGGATAAAATACCAAAGTCGCAGATCAAGATCCTCAACATAGACTCTGGGGTGCGTGAATCAGTTTCAGCGCGTTTTCCAATATCACTGATAATTAATTCCTAGTGGCCTGAGCGACATTCCACCCCTACTGAGCTCGGTGCCTTCACTGGCCTTTGGTATCTTCATCTCTCTGTCCAGGGTGAGGATCCACGTACCTCGGTCATCCCAACACTACATTCGCTCACGTGTTCCATCCACACAATCGTGATATCCGTTGGATATCCTCAGCTTACGGAGGCCTCATGATCATGCGGGAAACTTGACGAGGCTCTGTCCTCTCCGTATCCTCCTCTATCTGGTTTTGTGCTGGAGCAGATGGCGGTGGATTACTATACTCTTATTCAACACCCCATGAGACCACGCACTGCCAGTCAGAGGCGAAAAACTGCATTCCAGCCGGAGATTGGGAATTTTTTCCCAAAGCTAGTTGCCCGTAATTTGGTGCGCTCATTCTCCCGGTTTCTGTTCCATGGTCACTAAATTAGGTCCAGTTCCGAACGGTGTGGTGCTCCGGCCACTCTCAAGCCATTTCTGCGCGGTGGCGTGTAGGTTCTTCTTATTACTTGTTATCTCAGATTTAGCCTAACAAGCTTGACAGGAGGTTGTGGATCAGTTGTAGATACTATGTAGTCAATGGGTGTTCGTGCTGTCAAGACTCAAAATCGAAGTGAGCCAACTCATTAGTAGCTTCAAATCCTTCCAGTTCATGATCAACCGCTTATTGTCTTAGGTTTAATTAACTTTTCTGTCTGTGCCTTCCCTGTGCTTTCCACACTGCCGATCCGGTTATTATAATCCCAATTTTCTTTCATCCTGATTGCGGCCGCTTTATTGAGATCGAAATTCGGCTTGACCAACACATAACGAAGGCTCGAGCGTTTATTGAAGGCAGTGCAGGTCCAAGCGCTCGAGCTATTGTTCTGGAATGTGTGGCCACCGACCGTCCAAAACTGGAAATTCCAGTGACTGGTGTCAATTGCGGTGGCCATTATCTGCCGGACTATAAAATCCGAGGTCCTGTGCCGTTAGATTCAACCACTCTTTCTACCCATGTCTCCAAGCTCTCACCATCTCGAAGAAATTCTGGCTTCTAGCCTCCTCGACCCCATGAATCCTGCGTCGCTGTGCGGCGTTGGCATTTTTGGGGCGCTTTCGCAGGTGATTGTCCTTGGAAAGACAGTCCCGTATCAGGTCGCTTTTCTGCAAGCTGCGATGAAATATATGACCAAACCGCGCTCTGCCACCGAGCACGAACTTCTCCGAAACCGTCTCTGTCATTGCCATTGTGATTTCGGACTCGAACATGTCCAGAACATCCATGGTTTTTCGCCACCGACCGTAACCAAACTGGACCTTCTCGACCTCGCGATCCATCTCATGTGCAAATCTATCACCTCGGCGATCGAGCAATACGATCCAACTCTGGAGGATGCGAGGAAGCGGTGGCCGCGTTCCCGGGAACAGGATACCAACCCGTTCAACCTCACACCCTCTGCCCTCTGCGATGCTCTTCTTCAATGGACCTTACAACCACAGTACGGAAGCGGGGCATTCTCTTTGATTGGCTCCATTGCAATGTTCTCCCCCCGTTTCCACATCCACGTCCTTGCTACCCCTCGGGTCTTTCAACTTGCCACCGCGCAGCTGTTATACACAGTCCGAAATTTTCCTACGAATCCAGAGCAGTGGAATGTTCGGTTCGATAGCCGCGTCCTCGCCTGCGCCTCAGACCTGTTCTCCAGATTCACGCACCACCAAACCAACATCGCGCGTCTCATCCTCAGTGACGAGTTCGGCATCCGTGCAGATATGCTCGTCGTCGCGCGCGATATGCAGGCGCTCCTCCCCGCCGAAGATTCGCGGGCGAGCATGGCTAGTGCTGTTGAGTGGTTCAGGACCGTTCGCTTCTTGGATGGCGGGAAGAGATTCACGCCGAGAGGGGGGCGAGGGACACTTCAAGCCGGGCCTCAAGGATATTTTCATGTTGCGTTCAAAGTCATTGCAACGCTCCGAAGCAGCAAGTGCGCAATGAACGGGTGTGATGGGCGGGGTGCGACTGCGCACTCACGTCTGTGTAGCGGGTGTCAGGTCGCGCGGTATTGCTGTAACGAAGTGAGTGAGATTCATAACTGTTTCTCTACTTTGTTTTTTCCTCTTCCGATGCCATTGTGATACTCACATTTGGTCTTGTTCTTCTGCTTAAGCATCAAAACCAATCGTGGAGGGGGACGCGACACCCGCATAAGCCACTCTGCGACGCGATTCAAGCGCTGCGTCAAGCCATCGGCATGGGAGACGAGAATGGGTGGAAGGCTTTGATTCACGCGACTGGTCGGGCACCAGAGAAATTTATTGAGATTTGCCATGGGAAGGGTGTGCCGCCGATGCTAGGAAAAGCGATCTTGGAGGTAGGAGGATGGTTGCCTGCGGACTTCTAATTCGACCGATATTTATGCACGGACTATAAAGAATTCAATACATATCCGGGTCTCGATACGATTAGGATGAAATTTGAGACTTACATCGAGTCGTAATCTGTCTCTATCACAGTCACGACAATCAAGCTCGTACTACACCCAGAAGTAAAGAAACTCCCAGAACAAGGACCCCCGCTTTCCACCCTACAATCCGACCTGCCCCTGAGGCAGGCAATCCAAAACATCCTGCACTGTAACTGTACGTGCTGGCGCACGCAAAGAAATTTTGTACGTCCACTACGGCCCCAACGAAGGCCGGAGGGTTGAACGGACATCCACACGTGTCGTTGACGAAGCCGGGCGTGCTGCCGACGCTGCTGCAGCATATTTGAAGGACCGTGGCGTTACCGACTACGCAACCTATCAAGAGCATCAGAACCAGTCAGAGAAAGGCTCACACCCAAGTTACTGGTTCTTGAACAGTCGAGATTGCTATGTAAACCTACCGTGAAAACCTGCGGAGGCAGTCGCGCCATGGAGATTTGCACACCCTGTGGGAAGAGGCGGAAAGGCCGACGACAAGGTCGACGAGGCCGAGGCGTGGGTGGCGGAACCCGAAGAAAGTGATCCGCCGTTGGATGAAGCGATTGACGACGATGAAGAACTCATTCTGAGTGGGGGCAATCTAACAAATGTCCATCGACTACAAATGATTGGGTGAACGGGTGATGAGCCTACCCAGGTCCTTTATGATGCGCAATGTGGGTCTGAAAGCCTCAAAAGATTTGCGCTAAAAGCGCGTGGGTTATATATACTGTATGATAACAATTGATGGCGGGTTAGTATTGACCTCGCTGGTAAAGTAGGCGCTTGATGATCACGAAGGATTTCGGCAACTGATTTTGTCTCGGACCGTGAAGTTGAACAATCGACTGTGATAGCCTGAGACTCAGAGTGGTCGATGTCAGCAGACTTGAAGAACGATATTGAAACCGTGTATCAAGCAAGAAGATGGAACGAACCAAGCGACTCAAGGCGAGCGCTTCATCCTCGAACTTGGCCCTCGGAGTCAGAAAAACCTCCGAACACTTGGCAAGTCGAATTCGAACCCCATTGAAATATTCGACCATCTCGAAGCCGAGGCCGGGGATGAATAGGTGACTCACATAGCAGCAAGTGTAGCTTGCCAGGCAATTGAGAGGCCCTCTGAAGCCCTTTACCAGCCCCACCGTCGAAGTAGAAAGCGTGAACCAAAGTTGAAACTTGATTTCGTGCCATCAATGTTACCATCAAAACTGGTTGAACTTTCATCAGCTGAATGTTCAACCTTCCCTCTCAGCCTCCGCTTTGTCTAGGGGTCTGAGAATTGGTGTGGGGGAAGTATAAAAGGTATACATTGTATTTGCTTATAATTTAGAGCAAAATATGATCTCTATATTGATTTACCGACGATCTTATCGGATGTTGCGGATTTCGACCGATGGTCGTCAAACATGGTCGGGAATTGGTCTGGGGAGGTTGCCAGGGTTGGAAATGAAGATTAAAGGGTTCAAAAATGGACTCATTGGGAATTGAACCCAACACCTCTCGCATAAGACTTCAATTTCTCTCAGAAAAGTGCTAAGCGAGCGTGATAACCAACTACACCATGGGCCCATGTAACATTTTTTTGCGGTTGATGTGATCGTTAATTAAGAAGACTTGGAAATTCCTCGTTAATTACCTGTACTGGAAAGGGAAGAAATGTATCGAAAATTTGCATTTTCAAGCGGGGGAGAACGTTTTGGCGCGCCATCCAAACGTGGGAGTTATCATCAATTATAGCCGAAGTTGTCGCCCCGGCGAACTCGTTTTGTTCCTTCCCACCATGACGAAAGCGTGCCCCGAGCCCTTTCAAGCTTCAGTAGCTCGGTCTGCACGTCCCAGATGGCCTCTCATTGCAACCGCCTTGCTCCTTGCTGCTACGATATACGGTTTCTCTGGTCGGCTTCTGCCATGGAATGTTTCTGCGTCTGCTCCGTTTTCGTTCCCGGATGCCTGGGTAGATAAGGATACCAAGATGTGCCCTCAAGCGAAACCTCTTGCGCCGCAGCGGAACTCTGTTCTATGGGAAAATATCACTGCTCTACACTCGTCTGACACCTTTCTCAAACGAGCGATCGCTCAATTGAGCAACGCAGTTCAGATTCCTACCGAGACATTTGACTCGATGGGTCCTGTCGGCGAAGATGCTCGCTGGGAATCCAGAGGCCCATTCGTGGATCATTTACAGAAGGCTTTCCCTCTAGTGTGAGTTTTTCAGGTGGATGGGCTCATAGTGTCTGTGAATGATTTTTATCCGTAGGCACTCCACATTGAAATTAGAGAGGGTCAATACGTATGGACTGCTCTATATTTGGCAGGGATCAAACTCTTCTCTGAAACCTCTGCTTCTTATGGGACATTACGGTTCGCTCAGACTCAAATTTCTTTCTTTCTGTCTCCAGCCCACTAAATCTTGCACAGACGTTGTTCCCGTAGCAGCTTCGAGTGTCGACCAATGGACTCATCCACCGTATTCAGGCCATTACGATGGTCTGTTATCTCTCCAATCTTACTCTGAATTATTCACTTAATAAGTTGAAATACAGGGGAGAATATTTGGGGACGCGGGAGCTCGGACGACAAGAGCGGTGTCATCGGGATGATGTATCTGCCTGAACGATTTTATGATTAAACCTAACTCGATGTAGGACCGCAATAGAAGTTCTCCTCGAACGCGACTTCACACCGACACGTACAGTTATTCTCTCTTTTGGATTCGACGAAGAAGCTGGCGGACCAGAGGTTTGTTTTGCTTGCTCCTACAGTAAATAATTTTCTGACCACGCTCATATGATCATTTTCAGGGCGCTCGATATCTTGCCTCAACGCTGCTGGAACGTCTTGGTCCCGATTCAATTGCTATGATCGTCGATGAGGGCTGTATGACTTCCCAAGTCCCCAAAAATGAGACGGGCTGAATTTTGTTTTCATTTAGCCGGCTATTCGGAAAATTACGGTGCAATCTTCGCAGTCCCAGGTATCGCGGAGAAAGGCTCTGCAAACGTCGAAGTAGAGGTCAAGACTCCAGGTGGGCACTCAAGGTAATCTCAGAGAGGTTTGTTCTTCGAACCGTTGTCTCAAATGATACAGTGTACCTCCCGAGCACACAAGCATCGGCATCCTCGCCGCAATCATCGTGCATCTCGAATCCAACGCCCCGAAGCCCGAGCTCGCTGTGGACACTCCACTGTTCGAAATGGCGCAGTGTTTTGCTGCGCATGGACCTGGTATGCCGCCTGACGTGAAACGGTCTATTCGGCGAGCGGCGCGAGGAAGCGCGAAGCATTTGAAAAAGGCTGAGGAATATTTATTGCAAGATACGATGTTGAAGGCTTTGGTTGGAACTACACTTGCGGTCGACATCATCAACGGAGGCGTGAAGAGTAACGCGTTACCAGAACAAGCGATGGTAGGAATTACGGCGTCCATAAATATCTCGCTCACATTATTCACAGACTGTTGTAAACCACCGTATTGCAACCCAGAGGTCATTTTGGTTTTTCCGAAGTTATCCATTGTGCACTAATCGAGAATTCTCTCATGAAGTTCAGTAAACGCAACCCTCTCTCGCGATGCCTCCCTCGTAATGGACCTCGCCGAAAAGTACAACCTATCCGTCATCGCATACGGAGAGCCCTTAACACCAGCGGACATACCGACTTACGGCTCTGTATTGATCCGCGCGCCCATTCACCTCGAACCTGCTCCCGTGTCTCCAATTGAGGCAAAGCCCTTTCAAATCTTGGCCGGCTCAATTCGTACCGCCCGCCAAACAGGCATGCGCACCACGAGAGATGATGATGTCTATGTCGCGCCCGGAATGATGACGGGTAATACAGGTAAAATCCCCATTCATATCCTATCTCCTGAGAAGTCTTTTTATTTTCATACATCAAAGATACGAAATATTATTGGCCGCTCTCAAAGCACATCTTTCGCTACGGACATCGCAACATGATCGGGCGTGGTATGGGCGGAATACATACGGTTAATGAGCGTATGTTTCTCAGGATCTCCTGGCTCAAACTTTCATGAACTGAATTGTTCTCATATGCATAGATGTTCCGGCAGTATCATCCGTGGAGATCATTACATATTTTACCGCGCTGATACTCAACGTTGACGAAACGACGCTGTAATTTGTGGGCGCTCCCGGTTGAACGGGACGGAGCCAATTCAACTCGATTAGGGACGAAGTTGGACTTCGGTAAAATTGTTTTCGGTTTGAGGTGATAACGTGAATTTATAATTCAGATACTCGATTCAGGTAAGATTCACATCTCAGTTCACGCATAGTACGAGCACTCGATTGTTCCGACTCTATTCCGAAAATGCGAACAGCCGGCATATCTAGTTTACAACAAATTCAAAACGTATAGCGGAAACTTGGAAGCCTTCAATCCCTCCATATGGCCATCAAGTCTTGGGTTATCTATCATGTGGATTCACGAAATACTGGGAAGTTTTAGTTTTGATTGTCTCAGGCTACCGTGAATCGCCGAACATGCAGAGTATATACCTCCAGCCCATCAATAAGTGCGAGAAATTCATTTTGTGTTCGTTGAGTTTAGTGCACCCTCACCTTCATTGTCAATGGATCAACATAAATACCAGACAGCATCTGCTAAATACGGTATACCGCACATTGTTCATGTTCAAGAAGCAAAGACGCGACCCAATGGTTCAAGAGGATCGTTATCTGCTGTTGCAAAATGAATCAAACTCCGCGTCAAACTCCGCCGGCTTTTGCCGGGGTGAAGAGGAGCGTGAGATTCGTGGACTCATCACTCATCTCCAGCTAGCTCCCACCTTTTCCTCAGAGTCCTCCAGCCCCCGAGCGCGAAGGAATCTTAAAGCCGGAATCAAGCTGAAATCCGGATCGGCAGAAGTCGATGGTGACCTGGAAGAATCAACCGTGTACAGTTTACCACGAGACGCAGAACGGTGAAACCTTGGGTTAAGTACTTGTGTATGCCAGTGGTCCGTCGCAAGCGTTACTTCTCGTTTGTGTATGGGGAGCTTTGCCGGCTTCTTGATCTTTACCCTCATGTGGCAAACAGGCTCAAGAACGATGCAGGAGGACGATAGTGGGCGATATCTCATCGTACTTTTCCACAGGACTTGCTCCGAATTTGGTGATCTTGGATGGTGTGTAATCTGTTCTACCATATACTAATGCTTACTAGTCCATAGGTTTACCCGGAAAATCGGTGAATCGGAGCAATATAAACCTGGAGTATGCCTCAATACGGCGGTAGACCTAGCTCGCAAATCGGCTTTTGCGTCAACACCATTCGGCATGTAAGAATTTCTTAAAACTTGTCGCTGGGATTTGAGTGTGTCGGTCATAATGTCAACTCGCAAGCCCTCTTCGTCCAGAGTCCAGCTAAAACGAGGTTCAGCTTGCTTCTGCTGCAGGTGCGTGATTTTTGTGGGGTTGAATTCGACCATAGCTAACGGAAAGATCACAAAATAGGAGAAAAAAATTGGTCCGTCCATCTTGTGCCTCTTTGTCGATTTCTTCCGTTGAAAATATCGCAGAAATGCGACGGATTACGACCATTTTGCACCCAGTGCAAGCAAATTAACAGGATTCCAGAGTGTCAATACCACGATGAGAAGCAGAAGAGTCGTACCGAAAGATTAGAAGAGAAACTCTCCCTGTTGCAGCAACGATTGGGCGAACTGGAGACTAATTTCGCCCGCGGATCGATGCCTTCCTCTCATTTTAACGCGGAATCTCTTCATTTTCGAACCACCCCGCACTCATCAGTCGGGGTCCCCTTCGGATTCGAAAATCATCCTGGTTCTGAAGATCATAATCACGGACCCATACCAACGTCGCCCGCGCATCTGTTTCTGGATCCTCAAGATCCCTGGTCATACGAGAACAGAAGGAATCTGTGCGTGTGAGACCGGTCTATTTTTTCTATGTTTTTTGTTTCGTGATCGGCGTTCATCTCATTTCCCATAGTCTGGACATTTTTATTGCTCACCGACATCAATGCGGATTTAACGGGCAAACGGAACGGTTTTCGTTATCTACCCAAACGGCTGATTCCGTGCCGCATCCCGCACTCATGAACGCTATCTACCTCCTCGGCTGCCATTTTTCGCGTTCGCCCCATTCTCCTTGGCTCGAGTCCGTATTCTTTGCGCGAACCCTCGAGGAGATTTCCGTGGCACTTCAGAATGCAGACCGTCTCGTCGACATCGTTCAGGCGTCATGTCTTCTTTCTGTTTATCTCTACGTGAATGGCCGCACAGTCCAAGGCTACACTCATATCTTCTCCGCCGCCCGGCTCGCTGTTGATCTCCACTTGCATCAAATTCGCCCCCGTCCAGGCGTTTCCGAGCAAGATTTTTCCATCCCAGCCGCTCGACAACGCGCGGAAATGGCCGATTGTATATCGGCGTTTTGGCAGGTATTCACAGTCGATCGATGTTGGGCTGTCGCCAATGGACTGCCTCTAGCTCTCCACGACAGTGACACCCCCGAGCTTCGCATTTCAACTCCGTGGCCGATGCCCGACTCGCATATCGAACACGAACTGGTTGTTTTCAACGTTCAT